CACTCTTGCCAAAGGTCCCTGATCAGGCTGTGCCCATTGGCCATCGTCCCCCACCTCTGCAGCCTGGCACGCCCCCAGAGCCCCCCAGCCTCCCCCTGCCTTCCCTGTGGTGGGGCACAGCTGGGGCGTGGGAACCCGCACTGCCCCAGCCCCGCTCGGGGGTCACAGCGGGGACAGGGCAGGAAGAGCTCAGGGAAGCACGTGGCTGTGCCTGCCGGGAGCAGCCCAGCTGGGAGCTTTCCTCCTTCCTCCAGCCAGAAACACATCCCTTCTCCCTGCCTGTGGGCTCCGGGTGCGAGAGGGAGCTTTGATCCAGGTCCCCGAGGGAGGGACTGGAAAGAGACGAGCACAAAGGCATTTCCAGGCTGTGCACATGCAGGGTCACATCCTGCTCCATCCCCTAGAGCCACACAGTAGCTGTTGGAGCTTGCTTTGTCATATCTGTTACAGTCATGCTGCTTCTGGCTTTGCCTGGCAGAGGGAACTCAAGAAGAGTGGCCATGCTGGTACCCCAGAATGGGTCTCTCCACCCACTCTGTTGTTGCAGCATGGGCTGCCCTGCTGCCCACCAGTGCCCTACACTCCTGGCCAAGTACAGAGGGAGATATCTCAGGGATCTTTTGTTCCTGCCACAGCAATATTGGTTTCATACATGTCTTGTCTGCTTTTCATGTTCTCTAATATTTTGCCTCAGTACCAAGTAGGCTGCTATGTGGAGCAAAGGGTGGGGAAGCTGAGGCAGGAAGAAGCAGAGGGTGAAGCGAGGCAGTGAGCACAGGCCAGCATCCTCCTCCTGAGCTGTCTTCCCCCAGGCAGCACTGTGTCTCCCTGGTTCTTCTGTCCCTCAGGCAAGCTCAAGAAGTTTGAGAATGGCACATGGCACGTGGTGCCCCCTGAGGACCAGGTGAAGATGACCAAGCTCGATGGGCAGGTGTGGCTTGCCCTCCTCAACCTCCTGCTCAGGCCCGAGTGCCAGCGCAAATACCGCTTCGATGGCTTCAACAAGAGCCAGCTCCTCAAGGTAGGACCCTGCAGCACGACAGCCCTGGGCCCTTGCCAGCACTGGGCATCTCCAGATATCTGCCCCCATCCTCACTATGGGCTCCAAGAGCCAGTGGTGGGAGAACAGCAGCTCTGTCACTGTAGCAGCAGCAGCAGCAAAGCTCGTGTTTGTGAGTGCACCTCGTGAGACCCCCACTGGTCTCTCTGCCCCTCTAATCCCTGCTCTTGCCCTGCTGCATCCCCAGCTCTGACTCCCTTGTCCTGACCCCTCTCCATTCACTTTTGTCTCCCCTCCATGGCCACAGCTCCGTGCATTCCTGACAGACATCCTCCTTGACCAGCTGCCCAACCTGGTGGAGATGCAGAGATTCCTGAGTTACCTGGCAGTGACAGACCCTGCTCCCCCCAAAAAGGATCTCATCCTGGAGCAGGTATCCTGTGGCCTTTCCTTCACCTCTACAGCTGCTCTGGATAAGTCTGATGGCTCCCTACCCTTTTTTTCTTCCACCAAGCTCAGCTCTGGAGTGATGATGCCCTGGGAAAGCAGCCAAGTACCCATTTCAGTTACACCCTTACTGCCAGCAAAGCTGCCTGTGGCTGACCTGAGAGCCTTGTCCTGCCCTGCAGTGGCCAAGCAATCACATCTAAAGGCATAAATGCTGGGTCATAAACAGCTCTCCAGGTCACACTGAGCCCCTGGGATGGCAGCTGCATGGGGCAGACATAGGCACTGGCTTGTTTTGACAATTAACTCTTCATTTGACATTTATGAGTGTTGTCCTGTTGAATTATGGACTCCCCAGGGAAGTCCCCTTTTACAGCCCTGGTCTGAGGCTGCTTGGCATACTGTGTACAGAGGGACACCATGATCTGGTGATAGAGTCTGGAGTTAAACTGGTTCCAGCTAGTGTCTGGGCCTTTGGGAGTTAGGCCATGAAGGTCTTTGGACAGCCAAGAGGTTCTTGGGGGTTTTAATTCATGTGGTGGTAATCTCTGGAGAAAAGTGTTTTTATGTGTTACTTACTGCCTTCTTTTGAGCTGAGTGGAGAAACTGAGTGTGGGGGCAGATCTGCAAAGAGGCTGCTGAGAAGAGCTGGGAGCACAGAGGCTCTTCCCCACTGCCAGAGGCTCCCACACTGCTTCCTGAGGGATGGGTCTGTTGGGCAGTGGCTGTCGGGGCTGTCCCCAGTGGGAGCACGCTGTCCCCATCGCAGCTGGCCGTATGGCCTGGCAGGAGGGTGGTGTGCCCTGTCAGAGGTGGCTGTGGCTGAGTTGGAGGCATGGCCCAGGCTGGGAGCTGGAGCTGGGGAAGCTGCAGACTGGCAAGCTGAGCTGTTGGGGCTGGGGATGGCAGCAGGGTGGACATGGATTCACAACCCGTGCCTTGACTGCCAGTGTTGGTGGCACAGTGACAAGCAGCTGCCATGCTGGGGACCTCCTCCAGCTGCTGCCCTTTTCCATAGCTCTGCTTTTGTGCTGATGCTGCCCCTGCCAAGGCTGGGGCTGAGCTTGGGGACCGGCATGAGGAGGCAGTGGGAAGCACAGACATGGCTCCCTGCTCTGCCCAGAGAGTGCTGAACTCACTCCTTGTTGCTGAGCCAAGCTAAGGAACTGCTTTTTTCCATTTGACTGCTCCCAGAGCAGCCTCCTCCCCTTCCTTGGCTATTTTTACTCTGCTGGAGAAGGCAGCGCTGTTTGAAGCAGCGTGGTCCCCTCCAGAGCCTGAACTCAGCACGCTGCTCTTGGCTGGGATGTTTCCTTCTGGCCGGCCAGCCCTTCCCCGGGTGTTCATCTTCAGGGAAGTGACGAGCGGAAAAATCTGCTCAGGCAAACGGCTCTGGAGCACGGGGTTCACGCCACTGCCACACGCAGGGTGCTGAGGTCCCAGGGCTTCCTTCTCAGCAGCCCAGGCCTCAAGGCTGAACACCCATTCCCAAATGGACCCCAAAGGTTTTGCCTTGTTTCACCTCAGTGCCTGCAGGCGGGTGGATGTGTCCTCTCCATGTACCCATGTACCCAGGATGTGTACCCACCCTGACCACCTCTGCCTCTGCTTGCCCTCCTGCAGGGCCATGCTTCTTGTGCCCGGGGCTGGCTGCCTTCTCCCCAGACCACAGCACCCTTTTCAGGCTGTTAACACCTCCTCCTCCTGCCCTACCTCTCCCACCAGGTTCCTGTCATCTGGGACCATATCCTCAAGAAAAACTCAGGGAAGTGGGAGGCCATTGCCAAGCACCAGGTGAAGCATGCCTTCAGCCCCACTGAGGAGGAGCTGAGGCTGCAGGCACGCAGGTGAGGCTGGAGCAGGTGTGCAGAGTGCCCAGTGGGGCAGTATCCCCATGAGCAGGCTGGAGCTCAGCACTGGGAGGACAGAGGGGTCTGGGGCACTGGCTGGAGATGTCCCTACAGTGGCAGGGTGCAACAGAGACAGCTCACTGCCGGTCAGCCATTCCCTGTAAGCAGCCTCACCCCTCTCTGCCTGCACAGGTGGGCACAGACCTACAGCCTGGACATGATGGAGGCTCTGGCCCCCGACAAGCCCCGCTGCAGGGTGTGTGGTGCAGAAGCAGCCAAGCGCTGCTCTCGCTGCCGGAACGAGTGGTACTGCTCACGGTAAGGGAGCCCTGCCACCCCCTTGGGGCCCCTGCAGCCCCCCTGCAGCCTCTCAGTGCTCCCCAGAGCACCACAGGTCTCACTGGAGAATGCTGTGGGAGGACCAAGGAAAGCCAGGGGTTCCACCACTGCTCAGCACCACTAGCTCTCTGCTGGCCACGTACCTCTCCAAACCTTGTGGGAGGCTGATGTGCTGGGCTGCTGGTGGAGGTGCTGCTGGTGAGGGTTGTGTTGCAGCTGTGAGGTGCTGAACTGCCTCTGCCCACAGCACAGCACTGACAGGCTGGGTTTTCCGTGGTGACGCTGCCTCCCTCCTCCCCACCTTGGTGGGGCAGCAGTAGGAAAGCACCCATACCCTGTGGGTGCAGGTGACAGGCTGGGATGTGGCAGCTGGGACGGTGGCAGTAAATTAAATCTCTGGTCCTGAACCATCTGGCAAGGTCTGGTGTTAAACCTTCTTAACCCCCAGGACTGGGGCCACATCCACCCCCCTCTTGGTCTAATGCTGGGCTGTATCAGCTCTCCCCCAGCTCCCAGCGGGGTGGGGTGCTGGAGTTTGTCCTTCTTGCTGCTTTGCCCCCAGGGATGGATGTGACCCCAGTGCCCCTGACAGCAGCTTCCCCCTCTGCAGGGCATGCCAGGTGCAGCACTGGCAGAAGCACAAGCCTGCCTGCAACCTGATGGCCGAGGTGGCAAGGAGTGTGGATGACCTGTAAGGAAAAGTGGTGTCTGGCATCTGCCCAGAGAGGCAGAGGTTCCCCCAGTGTGCAGCCCAGAGCTGGAAAGAAGCTGGCAAAGGCCCCTTCTGCCTGCTCCTAGCCCCAGGCAGCACTAGCCAGGGTCAGCCTCTCCTCTCCCACCACCCCACCATGCTGCCTTCTCCAATAAACCTCCTTGTGCATCCCACAGCTGCTTGGCTTCTGCTTTTTCTCTCCTAGCTGAAGGTAACAAACTGCTTCTTCCCCTCCCTTCCACACAGTGAGAGGCGTGTGTCCATTTTCCCCTCTGCAACAACAGAAATCCCAGAGAACCTGAAAAGGCCTTACTGCAGCTGGGGAGGGTAGGGAGTGAGAAGGCCTCTGTGCTGCCTCTTACCATTGTTAGAGCAGCGTGGGGAGCAGAGGATGTGGTTTGCCTGAGCATCTTGCTGTGAGAAAGAGTTTCTTGGGTATTTGTCATCTCCCACCTTGCAGGGACAATTCACCCCATTTCCTCTCCCTTGATGTGATGTTAGCACGAAGGGCTTGGCCCCCTGCCCACCAGCATTACCAGTAAACAGGGTTTACTGGTGGGGATGCCTTGGGGTGCATCCCCACCTCTCACTGTCAGCAGCTGCTGCCAAAGGGCTGGAGCCTTGGTCTGAGCACAGCTGGGAAAGGTTGGCCATGTCCTTTGTCTGAGGGGTGCTGGAGAATCCCTGACATAAAAATAGGCTTTGCACCAGGGCTGCTGCTGCAGGAGCCGCGAGCAGGCAGGAAACCCTCTCGGTCGGGCTGCAGCCCGGCTGAGCAGCCCGCGCTCAAGAAGCTCCTCACCCAAGCCAGGCTGCACGTCCAGGGCTGCAGCCAGCGGGAGCAGGAGCGCTCTCCGTAGCTCTCCGTCTGCTGCTCACCCGCCGCCAGGGGTGCCTCCAGCCCCTTCCCCACCGGGAAACTGAGGCAGGGAGCGCAGTCTGTCCTTCTTCTGCGAAAAGAGGCAGAGAGAGCGGAGCGGCTGCAGCGGGCCCCCCTTCCTCCGCGGCGGCTCCGGGAACCTCATCCCCGCCTCCAGCCCGCCCCGCCGGGCTCGCCGGGACTGGAGTTGGCGATCGGGAGCCCGGGGCATTGCGCCGTTCCCCCCGCCTCTCCTGCCTCAGTTTCCCCGCGGTGCCCGATCGGGGCGGCCCCTCCCGGTCCCCGCCCCGGCCCCGGCCTGGAGCGGGCCAACGCGCTGCGCATCAGCCCGGCCCGCCGGCCCGGCCCCGGCGCGCATCCTGACCCGCGGCTGACGGCGGCACCGGGCGCCGGGCACCGCTTCGAGCCGCGGCGCCGCGGGCTGCACACCTGGTGCGATCTCTGCGGGGACTTCGTCTGGGGCGGCGGCAGGAAGAGCCTCCAGTGCCGCCGTGAGTACCGCGCCGCGCCCCGGGCCCCGCACCCCCGCCGCCGGGCGTGCCGGCACCCCGCACCCCCGCCAGGCACCGGGCGGCCCGCCACCCGGCTTCCTCTGCACCGGGCACCCCCAGCGAGCACCGGATGGCCCGCCACCGGGCACCCTCACCACTGGGCATCCCACCAACCGGGCACCCCTACAGGACGCAGAACATCCTGGTAGTAGGCAGCCCCGCTGAGCACCGGGTGTCCCACCACTGGGCATGAGTTTCCCAGCAGCGGGCATGCTGCCGCGGGACAACCAGCGGGTACAAAGCATCCTGCCATCGGGCACCCCCACGGGCCCCCACCCCCTGGCGGTGGGCCCCTCACTGAGCACCAGCTGTCCCACCACTGGGCACAGGCTCCCCAGCACCGGGCTGGCTACAGGCATCTCAATACCAACTACCCCCACCAGGCATCCTGGTGCCAGGCACTTCCATTAAGTTGGGCATCACCATTCTGGGCAGCTGCACCAGGCACTGGGCCTCTGGGCACCAGGAACTGCCACCAAACACTGGACACGCCTGTATTGGGCACACACATCAGGCACTGGCAGCCCCATACAGAACATCCTCACCTGGCACCACGCACCCCTGTACTGAGTACCTGCACCAGGTATTCCAGCATTGGGCACCCACACCGGCCACTGGGCATCCCAGTACCAGGCACGGAGCACACCACGCTGGCCAGCCCAGCAGGGAGCACAGCAGCACCAGCCAGGATGTGGCACAGTGCTATGTCCCATGTTGATGCTGCCCCTGAGCCCCTAGGCACAGCATGAGCAGACAGCTGACACTGTCACCATGTGCCAGCCCTTGTCCCACCGCCAGTGCCCTGACCCTGACACCCAGGCTGGGCACAGTGGTGACCCTGCTCCTCTCTCTGTCCCCAGACTGCAGCTTCACCTGCCACTACCGGTGCCGGGCCCTGGTGCAGCTGGACTGCGGTGGCCCCCCAGGTGCTGGTGACGAGGACGATGGCAATGAGCAAGTGTTGGAGAAGGACACCAACGTGGTAGGGCCTGGGGCTGTCTGTGAGGGAGAGCTTGGGCAGGGGGTGGCAAACCTGGGAGCTGTGCTGGGCTGTGCCATGTGAGGCTATGTCATGACCTGCCTGCCTGTGCCATGCCAGGCTGTGCCAAGCCTTGCTGAGCTGGGCTTAGCTGAGCTGAGCGAGGCTGACCTGCCAGGCTGTGCTGTGCCATGCCAGGCTGCATCATGCCGGGCTATGCTGTGCCATGCTGGGCTGTGCCAAGCCTTGATGGACTGCACTGGGCTGGCCTGGGCTGAGGTCGTGCCATGCCGTGCTGTCCGCGCCCCGTCGAGCCGAGCCGAGCCGAGCCGAGCCCAGTCGGGGCAAAGCCATGTCCGGGCGGGCGCGGGTGAAGTCACCGCCGGAAGCGGGGCCGCCGCGCCGCCCCCGGCCCGCGTCACCCCACGGCCGGGGCGGGGCAGGGACGGGGACCGCGCTGAGCCGGGAACGGAGCAGGGCGCGGTAGACGCCGCGCCGAACCGAGCCGGGACGGGAGCGCGATAGGGACTGGTCTGAGCCGAGCCGGGAACAGGACCGCGATAGACACTGGGCTGAGCCGAGCGGGACAGCGATAGGGACCGGGGGAAGCTGAGCCGGGACTGAGACCGGGACCGGGCGGAGCCGAGTCGGGATTGAGACCGGGACCGGGCGGAGCCTAGTCGGGACTGAGACCGGGACCGGGCGGAGCCGAGCCGCGATAGGGACCGAACGGAGCCGAGCCGGGCCCAGGGCCGGGCTGAGCGGAGCCGGGCCGAGGACCGGGAGCGGGCTGAGCCGAGCCGGGAGCGGACCGAGCCGGGCCCCGGCCCGGGGGCCGGTCGGGCTGGGGGCGGCGCGGGGGGCACGGGGGGCAGCACGGCCAGCAGCGGCTACTGCAGCCAGGAGGACTCCGACTCCGAGCCCGAGCTCTTCTACACCGCCCGCACCTCCCTCGGCCGCCGCCCGCGCCGCCGCCAGGTCGGTCCCGGGCCATGACGTAATGGGGGACACGGGTGACGTCATCGGGAGCACATTCCCCCGGCTGGGGAGCAGGCCAGGGTGGGCTTGGTGTGTGGGGAAAACCAGAGGTGTTAGTGGTCTTATTTTAGAGGTGAGCTTGGCCCTGCTGTGGGGCAAGAGTGGGGTCGGGCATGGCCGTGCCGTGGGACGCGGTGGCCCTGTCCGCTTGGATGTGGGGTGAGCGAGGCACCGTGGGGCGAGTGGCACGGGCACCCCACGGTCCCTCAGGGCTGGAGCTGCTCCCAGCTTTGGGGGTACCGGGACAAACTCCCCGGGCAGCTTCACAGCTGTCCCCATCCTGCAGGGACCCTGCTGTGGGGTGGCTGTCGGGGCTGGGAACCCCTCGGTGCCGTGGGGACACGTGCAGCACGGTGTGGCAGCTCCGCGGCCCCGCGTAAATACTCATTAGTGGGTGCCGGTGGCGGGGACGCCGAGCCAGGACGCTCGGTCCCCGTGTGTGGGGCCAGCACTTTGAAGGGGGGTGCCGGCGGCAAGGGCGGGCTGCACCCCCAGCCCGGCCCTCCTGCCTCAAATCTCGGCGTCCCCGCGGGCGCGGAGCCTGCCCAGACGCCCTGGTGCCGGGCTGGCGGCTGCCGGCGCTCTGCCTTGGGGACGCCTCTCTGATCTGCGGTGCCGGGAGCGGACGCTCGGCTCCGGGTGCCCTCGCCGTGCGTTCTCACAGCCCTGCAGCCCCGGGGACGGGCGCTTGCGGGGCGGCCCGTGCCGGTGTCCCCGGGGTTGCAGGGCTGGGGCCGCAGTGAGCACAGCGCAGCTCAGCGCCGGCCGGGCTGATGCAACCCCGTGCAAGCGCCCGCGCATCTGCCGGTGCCTCGCGGTGGGCTGGGGGCCGGCGCGACACCGAGGCAGGGGGAACGGTCCCCCCCGGTCTCTGTGCCGCTCAGCCCGGCTGCTGTCACGCAGGATGAGCCCAGCGAGTGGGAGAAGACAGAGCTGGACCAGGCGCAGGTGGAGCAGCGGATCAAGGAGTACAACAGCCAAATCAACAGCAACCTCTTCATGAGCCTGGTATGGGGTCAGCACAGGGCCCGGGGGGTCACGGTGCCCTGCCCTGACCCCACTCACCCACCACCGGTGTCTCGTAGAACAAAGACGGCTCCTACACCGGCTTCATCAAGGTGCAGCTGAAGCTGGTTCGCCCTGTCTCGGTGCCGGCCACCAAGCGGGTCCCCTCCCTGCAGGCGGGGCGGCCACACCCCCAGGGCGTGAAGCGCCGCACGTCCTTCTACCTGCCCAAGGGGACCGTCAAGCACCTGCACATCCTCTCGCACACCCGCGCCAGCGAGGTCATCGATGCGCTCCTCCGCAAGTTCACCGTCATCGACAACCCCCGCAAGTTCGCCCTCTTCGAGAGGTCTGAGAAGGATGAGCAAGGTAGTGCCCAGGGTGACCCTGTCCTCACAGTGGTGGCTGTGTCCCTGTACTGTCAGTTTCCCCTGGCTGGTGGCAGTTCCACGGTGGTGATGTCCCCAGGGTCCATCATGGTGGCGGCAGCATGCCCGCGGCAGTGGTGTCCCCATAGTGGTGGTGTCCCCCATGGTGGCAATATCATGGCAGTGGTGCCCCAGTAGTGACAGCTTTCCTTAGGCAGCAGCATCCCCGTGGTGGCGGCATCCCTGTAGCAGTGGCATCCCCCTTTGGTGACAGTGTCCCCTGTCACCATTGCAGCCGTGGTGTCCCCTGTGGTGGTGATGTCCCCATAGCAGCAGCATCCCCGTAGCAGCAGTGCTGTCCCCGTAGCGGCAGTGTCCCCGCGGTGACGCGTGGCCCCGTTGCAGTGTACCTGCGGAAGCTGGGTGACGACGAGCAGCCCCTGCGGCTGCGGCTGCTGGCCGGCCCTAGCGAGAAGGTGCTGAGCTTCATCCTGAAGGAGAACGAGACCGGCGAGGTGAACGTGAGTGCAGGGGCGGGGAGGGGGCTGGCACCCGCATTGCCCGGGGCGGTGGCCATGGGAGGACGCTGCAGGTCCCCGTGGCGATGGCAGCCTTTGTGCCTGCAGTGGGACGCCTTCTCGCTGCCGGAGCTGCACAACTTCCTGCTGATCCTGCAGCGGGAGGAGGAGGAGCACGTGCGGCGGCTGCGGCACCGCTACGCGCGCTGCCGCCAGAAGATGCAGGAGGCGCTGGCCGCGCTCACGCCGGGCTGACCGCGAGGCGCGCACCGAGGCCAGCCAGCACCAGGATCCTCGCCCGCCGCGGTGGGGACACCAGGGAGGGGGGTGGAACGGGGCGCCACGGAGCCACCGGGCTGTCACAGCCCCCGTGGGGCTGGCCCGGAGAGTGAGGGTTCCTGATGGGAGCGCGAGCGAGTGTCACCCGGGAGTGGGTGTCCCCAGGGAGCGTGTGTCCTGGGGGGAACGAGTGTACCCTGGGGGATTGGGTGTCCCCAGGGGAGTGGGTGTCCCGAAGGGAGCGTGTGTCTTGCGGGAAGCAAGTGTCACCTGGGGGATTGGGTGTCCCCAGGGGAATGGGTGTCCCTAAGAGAGCGTGTGTCACCTGCGGGATTGCGTGTCCCCAGGGGAGTGGGTGTCCCGAAGGGAGCGTGTGTCTTGCGGGAAGCAAGTGTCACCTGGGGGATTGGGTGTCCCCAGGGGAGTGGGTGATATGGGGGGAGCGAGTGTCCCCGGAGAAGTGAGTGTCCCTGCGAAGAAGCAGGGCATTGAGCACCAATAAAGGCATCTTGGTGACGAGGCCTGGCCTGCGGTGTGTCCTTGGCGGGGCGGGCTGGGTGGGAAGGGACGGGAAGCGTAGTCCCCGCGGTGTCGGCGAGCCTTGGGTGCCCACACGTGGTGCGGGGCGGCGGCGGCGGGACTCGAACCCGCGGTTCCCGCGCTGCCGGCGGCGGGCGGGGAGGAGGGCGCGCCCCGCGCCGGTGTCACGTGACGCGGGCGCCGGAAGTGGCGCGGGCGGCGGCGCAGGCGGCGCTCGGTCGGTGTCGCCGGGCGGCTCCGCGCGCGCCGCCACCCCCTTCGTGTTCACACGGCGCGGGTGAGACGCGGGTGCGGGGGCGGCTGCCGCGGGCCGGGGGCTCTGCCGCTGGGCCCGCCCCAGCGCAGGCACGGCGCGGGGGTCGGGAGGGGCAGCGGGTGCTCGCTGCAGCTCTCCCGGGAGCGGGGACCGGCCTGCCCCAGCCCCCGGCCCGGCTCGGGGCGCAGGGAGCCGGCAGGGCCGGCAGGCTCTCACCCCAACGCCTCCCCTCTCCTCTCGGCAGCTCCATGTATTACGATGAGGACGGGGACCTTGCTCACGAGTTCTACGAGGAGACAATCGTCACCAAGAACGGGAGGAAGCGCGCCAAGCTGAAGAGGATCCACAAGAACCTGATACCTCAGGTAAAGTGCGGAGAAGGGTGGGGGAAAGTGAGTGCAAAGCGCCATGGTGACGCTTGAAGTCCGGCCTTTACAGGAACCATCTCCCTCGGGGCATCTTCTTACTGGAAAGGTGGAGGCTCTCTCCTCCTCCCCAGTTTCTGCCTCAGAGCCATGATTCCTGTGTGTCCTGGCTCACACCCGTGTCACCTGAGGCTGTGACAGGAAAGGGAGAGCTGGTGGCACCCTCCAGCTGCCTTTTTTGGAGAGAAGCAGTGCCTGGCAGGGGAAGATGTTGTGGGGCACAGAGTGCCCTGCGTGGCCATGGCGTCTCCTTACCAAGCACCTTCCACGAGGTGTAGGGTGCTGTGCTGCCTCAGCCAGTGTCATATCACTGTGGAGGGCCAGGCCCTGTGTTGGGGAGCAGCAGCCAGAGCCCATCAGCTGCTGTCATGAGTTTGCACATCCCCTCCAGCTGCTCAGCAGTGTTGACAGCTCTCTGCTTTGCTCTTCAGTGGAAAAGTCTCCTCTTTAAATAAGCAAGTGGTGTGAAGCTGGGCAGGGGTTGGGATGTTGAGGATCATGGTGCAGGGGCAGAATAGCCTGCATGTAGGGAATCTTTTGGGGGCAAAAATGGAGGAAAGAGTAGATCAAACCAGGGCTGGAGAGAGCCTTTATAGAAGTCATCCCTAAATAAGCAGAAGGGCATGCTGTAATGAGTAGCTGGGGTGAGCTGTCAGTGTACTCTGAGGAGTGGGCAGCCTCTCAGCTGGATGGAACCCCTCTGAGTGCTGAGCAGGCAGTTGTGGATGGAAGGATTTGGTGCTGCTTCCTGGGCTGGCATTCTAGCAGAGGCAGGCTTGGCATTGGAACTGAGTCCTCGTTTATGTGGGCTGAAATTCACCCAGTTGGAAAGCTCAGCTGAGCTGGGGAGAGCAGGAACCAGCACTGAACGGTCCTTTGCTAGCTCAGGCTTTACTCTGGTTCTGCGGGTGCAGGCCCAGCCCTGAGCCCCTGCTCCCCCTCTGCCCCAGCCCCCGCCTGGTGCTGTAACAGGAGAAGGCTGGGCTGGGGCATGGGAACGGCTCCTGTGGCTGCTGTGGAGGGAGCGTGCATTCAGCAGCCTCCCCTCTGCACAGAAAGCCGCTTTTCTGTGCGCCAGCTGCCCCGGCTGCCTTCTCTCAGAGAGCTCTTTTCATTGCTCTAAATCCCGTGAATGAAAGGTGCCGCATGAAAAGCCCAGACAGCCAATATCTGCCAGTCACGCACCAGCTGCCGCACGGGCAGTGCCTGGCAGAGCAGCTCCCTCCTTTCTCGCCTGCCGTGCGTGGCAGCCAGCCGTGCCGCCCTCGGCTCTCCAGGGAGAGTGCGAAGGGCAAAGGGCTGCTGCTTTGTGTGCTGCTGCTCAGGCGTACCTGGTGTCACAGGCGATTTATGGAGCCTGGTCCCTCCGGTTCCTCCAGGGCACAGTGTTCTCTGTCACTGGGTGACTGGCAGGGCTCGGGGATGTTGATTGGCCGTCCCTTCTGCTCACCATTCTGACTCTTCTTTCAGGGCATAGTGAAACTAGAGCATCCTCGCATTCACGTGGATTTCCCAGTGATTATCTGCGAGGTGTGAGTCCCAGACATCGCTGCCCGTGGGTGGGAGGCCCTGCCCCGCCACCTCCAGCCTCACTGGGCCAGGCTGCATCGTGTTCCCACCGAGGAGGACTCCAGCCGTGCGGCAGGATGGTGGCTCTCCCCTCGCCTGGAGGTGAGGCAGGACGGAGCAGGCCTTCGCAGGAGATGGGTGACTCTGTGCAATGACTGCTTAAAAACATCCTCGCTTGAGTCAGAAGACTAAAATACCTTTTGTAGCCTCTAGCTGACGTTTGATGGGTAACTGGAACTGCAGACAAGCTGCTGTGATTGAGCTGTGAAAGGGAGAGCAAGCCTGCACTTCTCGTCAGAGAGAATCCCCTGCTTCTCAGGTATGCGGCCCAGGGAGAGCCAGGGCACGGTAGCGCCCTGCCCTGCACCCCGCGGTCCCTGGGGCCCGCAGGTTAGATGGCCAGTGTTGCAGCATGTCCCTTTGACACCGGTGCGATGTGATGCTCCCCTGTGTGGGTTTGTTGATGGAGGATAAGCAGAGCAGGCTGAGGGGTCTCAAAGCACATTGGGCTGGCTGCTGCTCTCCTCTCGGGAAGGGGATGGAGATCAGATGCCGCTCTCTTAGACCTCGGTCTCTTCCCCTACTGCGATTCCCCACTTATGCCAGCACTGGGGAGGTTGGCTTTACTGCTGCCTGCTCGAGATCTCTGCAGTCCCTGGCCCCTGCTGGTGGCAGCAAGGTCCCAGCTCTGCAGAGGACTTGCCTCCCCCATTGTCACACTGGCTCCTGCTGAGCACCGTCCCTCGCCTGCTGCTGCTGCCGGGCAGCCTCCTCACCCCCGCTGCTGTTTGAACATACCTCCCTGTAGGCTGGGCCTCGACTGAGCCAAGCAGGAAAGGAATCCTGTCTTCCTTCCCTGTGCCCCCGAAACAATCAATTGGTGTACCTGCCCCGGCATGGAAGTCTCCCTGGCGATGTGAACTGTGGTTCCTCCGGCATCCCAGCTGGTGGCAGGAGGAGAAATGCGATGCACTTTAAAGGGAGGCTTGCTACCCCACCTCGGAAGGTCCTGCTCTTTTCTCCTCTTTCCTCCCACCTAAGAAGGTCGAGGTCTTGGCAGCACCGAAGAACCTCTCACCCCTGTGTGTGTCCAGCTGCTGGGGGAAAGGCTTGACCCCAAATGCCCCTTGGCAGCATGAGGAGCCCCTGCCTCCCTTCTCAGCTCTGCCCAGACCGAGCAGGCAGAGGAGGACCGGCAGCAGGCACAGCTTTAAAGTGGGTCAGAGCCTACTCCCCACAGCAGCCAGCTCGGCTTTCCTCCTCTTTCGTTCCAGAACTTATTTACTTTCTAAGCACTTCAGATGTTTGCTACCTCGATTTTTAATTTAAGCTGCTGGCACTTGGCTGCCAGCCCTGTCGGTGTCTACGTTGGATGTATCCATCCCCGCGTCCGCTGAGAGCCGCCCGGGCGCGGGGCCACATTCCCAGCTTCGGGGAGATAACGGCGACGTGGCTGTTGCTGTCTTCCTGTCACCACCTCTTCCCTTCACGTCCCTCCACCCGCGGTTCCCATCGACAGGAGCGAGCACACAGGGTGACATGGATGTGCTGGCTGCCACCAGGCAGGAAAGTGGAAGGGCAGGGCTCATCTACACTGTGATGCTGGGCGCTTCTTTCGACATCTTTTGTTCTGCTTGCTTGAAAGAGTCTTGTCTTAAAACAGTCCCTCACTGAAGTGTTTCTTATTTGCACCACCTGCTCTTGAGTTTCTCCCTGGCTGGAGCTCCCTGGGAAGGGCATCCCTTGGGCTCCACAGGAGAGCAGGAGCTGCTGTCCCCAGGAAGAGGAGAGAAACCTGTGGCCACGCTGTCTGTGCTGCCTTGCCCCACTGCTGTTTGAGAGCATGGGAAGCTGCACCGACCCCGCCTTGGGCAGGGGGGAAGGAGGACAAGGAGTGGGGAGGGGGTTGGCACTGTTTGCCTGCCCCAGTGGGGAGCCCCTCACCTGGCTAGCAGCCAAAAATCTGTTGGCAAGGCATGGCCTGAATCTGGGGGAGGGGGCAGAGACTGTGACCAGCTTAGCAAGGATGCTTTTGTCCTTTCTGACAGGCTGCCCATCCTTCCCCCAGTGTATTAAACATACTTCCCCAAAACCCATGCCTTCTCCCACTCTTGTACCCCCTCAGTGTCACCAGAGTGGCAGCCAACCTCTGCAGGCTGCCAACAAACTGCACCCTGCCCCGCTTCTTCCCAGGCTGGTCCCCACAGCAGCCAGCCCCCAGGACCCCAGCAATCCTGCAGCAGCAGGGCCTTGGGAGCACCTGGAGGGATCTTAAAAGTGTGAAGATCACTGTAAATAGTATCTGTGTCCACTGTGGTGTTGGAGCAAGCAAAAAAAAAAAAAAAGTTTTCTTTTTATTTTTTTTTTTTTTTTTACAATTTCTGTGCAACATTGTGCTTTCCGGTGTGGATGTGTAGCCGAATCGTACTCACCGACACTAGGCTCCTTGCTCCCCTAGCGTGTGGGTAGGACCCATGGGTTTGGGAAATGTACACTACTTATGGTCCTTCCTCCCAGTGCATCTGTCCACTTTTGTTAAATTTCAATAAAATTATTTGTAGAGCCCACAAGTCCCAGAGCTGTCTTACTGGGGAAGGCAGATGTACCTGAGGGAAGGTGGACTTCGAGCCCCCTGTTTTTTCGGGAAGGGGGTGCACGTGTGGAAGGACTCCCGAGTCACAGCCATTTCCAGGTTCTCCAGTTGGCACATGGGACTGGCAGGAGTTGGT